GTCCACACAAAGCACAGTGGCTGCCAACAGTGCCCAGAAGATGAGAGGAGTATTTGTCCTTGGACACACCTTTTTATTTTAGTGCTAAGTGCATTATCAACTTCAAGGGCTTTCTTTTGTGAGAGATCACTGTTAAACCTCACATGCTTTCAAGCTGCATCTATGTCAGACTCCACTACTGCATTAATGCCAAGCCATAACTCAATTAGGACTTAAAATATACCTTTTTCATGTACATGCTTTTTGTCCAGGGCTAGCTTAATATAACCCCTCCAGCAGCAGGGATTGTAAAGCAACAGGAATGTCAACACACCCCAAACTTAGAGCTCACTTAACCTTCACTCTGCTCTGACAATGTACCTCTTCCGGAGAGTAAAAGTGGAAGATCAATTACAGACCATTACAATTATGCCAATTAGAGACAATTTCAGTTGTGTCAGGGATAAGCATGCTGGTTGCCTGTATCGATTCCAGACTGCTCACCTCTAAGCCTGGCTGCCCTGGAAGTCTCAGAAGCAGAGCAAGGTAGGTCAATTCACATTAACACCTACTGAAAGAACAGTAGAGAAAAAAAGTTATCCCAGACATGCTGTTTTAATGCAAGTTTTGAAGTAGTGCTGAATAGCTGAAATAGACCTCAATCCTGGCTCCATATTAAAGGCTGCAATGGATTTGGTTCCAGAACATACACTGAAAGGAAAAAACCAGTACACAATCACCAAAACAAAACTTGCATATATATTTGCAGAACAATTTGAGGACATATTTCAAATCATACGCCTACTGTTAAGGGAAGTGATGCCTAACAGTGTTTCAGATTCAAGGAATTTGTTGTAACTGCACATGCAATTAAGTCTGAACATTTTAAGGAATTTCTGCCCTTTGTTTTTGTCAGCAGTGGTTTGTGCTAGCGACACTTTACATAAACACGAGTTTTCTGATGACTGAATCTCTGTTGACAGACAGCAACATTTAGCTCTGCAGAGGTAAGAGTATTCATATCCAACTGCAAGAACACATCCAACTGGTTTAAGTCATCCATGAGCCCCTCCAAAAGTAACATATTATAGGTACAATACAGATACATGATTTTCAACCACTATTTTCATTTTCAATGGCACAAGATAAAATGATTCAATGGGATCTCCTAATGAATTGCTCATTTTTAATCACAACTGTCCAGGCACTGGTATATATCAGTAATAGAAAAATTAAAAAGTTAAAAATAGTGTACAGTTTAGCACAGAAGGCAACATTTTAATAGAAGCACATCATTTTAATTTGCTTTGAAGTTTAAAGCAGTCCCAACGAAAAAGTTAACTATATAAATACAGAGTAAATGCACACAGTTTACAGCCAACTACATGTACGCAAGGATAACAGCAAACCCCACGTGAGAACTGAGGTATTCTCAAACTGTCATTTGTGAGTGTTTAGCTATGACCCCGAGGGCACAATTATGTTCACATATGCAGGGTAGGCAGACTCTCAAACAGAAGAACTGAAAACTTACATAACAAAGTTGAAAGCAGTAGTACATTTACCTAGGCACACTTCAGTGTCCAGCTTGTTTTCTGAATTTAAACACTTTAAAGAGGAAGCAACATTTATAAAGGCTCTCCAATCTTTTGTCTCTGGAAGCATTCTTTTAAAATGCTACAGTCTGAGGAATGTTACAAATGTCATTATCAGAACAAAATCAGAATAGCAGAAGCTGTGATTAACAAACAATCAGAAAGGAAGTCTATGGAGTGCGTTATGTAAACAGGGAACTAGATCGGTGCACTGTCAATATATGAGCGGACAGGTTGATGTTTCAGTTACAACTAAAGTAACAACCAACCTCCATAAATCCCTAGTGTAAACCTACTTAAAAGACGGGCTAGCAGATCAGCAATTGGGACAAAGAGCAGGTCCACCAGCCGGTTTAATGCTGGGCTCAGCCCCCTCCAACACACAGCTCGCTTGTTTCCACCCAGCTCTCCACGGACCACATAGATGACAGAGGGGCTGAGAATTGGGAATGCATTCCCCAAAACGTGCTTTTACGGTTTTCCAAGCTCGGTGCCCCTGCCGTGCCCCGCAGCGTGCCCAGGGCAGCGCGGGACCCGCGGGGGGCGCTGGCAGAGGAGCCCTTTCCCTGGGATGAAGGCGTGCTCCACTGCCATCTCTTGACTGGCTCCGCAAACTGCAGCCCCGCCGCTTCCCAAGTCGAACCAGTCAACAGCTTGCAGGAACATGCAAGTTTCATCCAGGCAGGGGAAATATATGGAAACCACTTAATTGCTGAGAGTTTTTCAGCCATCCGAGACCTTTGTGTCCAGCACAGATGAGTGTGACAAAGGCATTACATTCACACAGAGATCAGGATGACCATCTAAGTTACAAGAAAGTTTAAATGCACTCCTTCCAGTTCTGTAGTTAAGGATATTACCACTGTAGCATCTTCTTATTCCCTTTGAGTTTTTATAATAAATATAAATAAAACTACATAAATAATTTAAAGATCTTTGGGCAATATTTCAGAGGCAACTTTGTGTGTACTGGTAATTTAAAAGTAACAAGAAACACTGAGAAACTTTGGGTTTATGTTTTCTTATTTAAAGCAAGTCAAAAAGATGATCACCCCTGAAGCTTAAAACAGTGCTTGTACACCCATTACAGAGAGGGAATAAGCTGATTGTCTATTTTTAGCTGTTGTCTCCCATATTCAACTGTCCTTGTTAAGATTTTCTACCTTGCAACTCCAAGGAGTCTGATGTCACCCAGACAAGGCACAACCCAGTGAATTAATTGGGAGATGAACATGTAACCAAAGGAGAACATACCCAATAAGCAGAGGAGAGTGACTCTCATGAAACCTAGGCTAACCCAAGTGTTAATTGTATTCATGAACTCCAAGGCTGAATATTGTCTTTGCCAATTTAAGTTTTGCCTATGACTGAATAATCTGGATAGCCGGAAGAGTAATCCACTTTCTACAGAACAAATGTTACAGTAAGTAGCTATTCCTGCACTTACGTGAGTTACCTGAACAGCATCACAGCAAGACTTAAGTCAGTCATGAATACCCCAGATTTTTCCTAGGAAGATGACCACAAAAAGCCCACTACAACACACATTTAAGCACTCCCCTTGCTTCTTTCTAACAATCAAGTTCACCTTTGTGGGCATATCACAGACCATGTGACCATCTGTCTTTAAAAAGGGAGGATCACATTTTCCAAGGAGAAGGACATCAGTACAGCCAAGCCTCCAGGGCAAGGTCGCTGTACATCTTACAGGTGGCTTTTAGAAGTACTCACAAGTGGTAGAGGAAATTACATGAAGTACTCCAATGCTTGGACACTGTGCGGGAAAACATGACAAAGGTCAAAATAAAGGAAAACAAATGAGAAAGATTGTTCTGTAAGCTTCAAGCTTTTACACACAGCCTACAGAACTCCTGCAAGAGAGATTTCTATGTATCTGCAGCATAAAATGTTCTATCCTGCACAGCTCACATGGAAATCAATCCACATACTTTGTTTAAAACCAACCTGCATGTTCTGAACACAGTTTGATTACAGATAACAAGAGGAAGAAAAGTCACAAGCCATAAGAAGGCCACAAAGTGCATCAGAAGTAATCTGTAAAATAAAGCCATTGCACACAAAGCACAGCTTAAGTGAACTGAAGTACCACACTGGAAGAGTTGATAGCACAGTTCTGTCCACACCAGTGCAGCAGCATTTATATGTAGAAAGCTATTGCCCCGCATTTATACTGATCATCTTCCTCATAAGGAACATGGATGCAGACTGAGAAGTACTCAAGGTGCAGATAAAAAAATTTATATTTGGAAAGCTGCACAAGTTCTTGTAACATTAAACTTCCAATTTTGACACTCCAACTGTATGGTTTTGGCAAACCCTGTAAGTTATGACAGAATAAACTAGCTAAGCCTCCGTGCTAAATGCAATACACTGTTGCTCTGTAAGCCAATTGCAAAATAAAAAACAATGCCTGAGTATTCAGACAATTTGGAGGACAATATATTGTCAGGTGCAGTTCTGTACACAGGCTCAAGCTGGAATACGTGATACAGCAATTATCAAGGGGAATGCTTACAAGCAAATCTCAATTATAGTTTTCTCCATCATTCTGCACAGAGGCTGTCTGCACTGAAAAAAAATTATCACAACTTCAATGGTTTTCTGCTTTCTAGTCACCTTAGCCACGGTGATGTGTTCTCCTGCTGTACTACCATACAGATACTGGTAACCCAAGTCAGGCTTTGCCAGACATATTAGGGTAATACAGCTTGGTCTTAGGTAGCATGAAACTATTTGAGTGAATCCTGTCTTCACAAATAGTAGGCTGGACTAGTTAAGATTTCTCATCACATAAAGAAACCTTTAGGAGGCTATGAAGTAGCATTCAGCACTTCCTTAGCTGTGCGAGTGACCTGAGAGGTTGGCAAGGAAAACTGATGATATGGGAGAACGTTTCACAGGTCTCTCTTGCTTAAGGAAGAAAAGTTCCAGAAAAGAATAAGGATGATGCAGCAGAACTAGAAATCCACATACACCAATACTGAGAGACTGATAACCTGAAGAGTTCAACAATCAGATCCTCTCACTAACCTACAACACTGTTTAAACGTCAAACAAAAAAACAAGTATCACTGTTTTAGTGAAGAAATAACTCTGTTCTGGGTCCCTGCGCCATATTTTGCCTTGAGGAAGCAACATGGAAAACTCTGCACACTGACTACTACCTCACGAATCTTCAGAGCAACTGAATGGAAGTTTCAGTTATAGAAGTACCATCTTCCCCATTCTTTCAACAGGTTACTGTGCAGTAAAACAGAACAAAAGGATGTAGTTGAGAGCAATCACCAAGAGAAGTGAATAAGGCTGCCCAAAAACGTATTTTATGCCCCCTCCCTCACCAATCAGGTCTCTGAAGATGACTGAATGGCCTTATCTAGATAAACAGATGGAAAAAAACCAAACAACTTTGAATTAAGAGATGCCTAAGGGCATTCCCTAAAGGGCAGTTCCCATTTCTCACGTTGCCAAGAGACCACACAATAAGGCAGCAAAATTATTCACAGTTGCCCACAATGAACCTCCTGTTTTGTCCATAGCTGCACGTTCCTGATATAACAGTCCTTTTGCCCACCACGTTGGCACTGACATTCCGTGGTCCACTCCAGTCTTTCAATCTTCCACCTTCTTCTAGGAAGACTTGTGACGCTGCTATCCATCGAGCAAGTAGACTACCACTTCATAGGTTGACATCATGATAGCCGTGTTTGGAATCTGTCTGATCAGATGCGTGGTTAAACCTCGGTAGAGGGATCCATACCCTTCTTCTCGCACAAGCAAAGATAATGTCTGGAAGAAAGACCGGTATTTTGTTCCCTCTTCTCTTAGTCTTGTTCGTACAACCTCTGCACAAAGAAAACCAGACGTCATTATGTTCAACCCTTTTCACTGTGTTTTCCAGACACCTATTAGTGATTTTAGATTACAACCTTTCCCCCTCCCTACATTTTCAGTCTCAGAACAACTCGAAAAAAGGAGGAGGAAGAAAAACAGAGAAGCAAACCAGGTACGCGTAAAAGGAAAACAAGTTACATTTTTGGGAGCATTAGTATCTAACAAAACAAGGCAGATTCATTTATTTAGTTGAAACGCAGAAGAGGACTGTTGTTTGGGCTTACGTTATAGCTCAAAAAGTTGCCACTAATGAAGTACTCAATCCATTAACACAATGCATACACAACTACTTTGCAGGAAAGTTACCTGCAACTGAAAACCAAACTAGACAGCCTTTTTTCCTAGGAGGGCGACAAGAACTTGCTGTCAAATTGTATGAAATTGCTGAGTATATGGAGAGATTCTAAGTGAAAAAGGACTTTGTCCTTAAGAACTTTGAAAGCAGGGAGGTTTAGATTAGATATCAGGAAGAAGTGCTTCCTGGAGAGGGTGGTGAGGCACTGGCACAGGTTGCCCAGAGAAGCTGTGGATGCCCCATCCCTGGATGTCTGCAAGGCCAGGCTGGATGAGGCTTTGAGCAACCTGGTCTAGTGGAAGGTGTCCCTGCCCATGGCAGGGGGGTTGGAACTAGATGGTCTGTAAGGTCCCTTCCAACCCAAACCATTCTATGATTCTATGACATACTCTGGTAAATCCTTTGGGGAAAATAAAACTTTGCCTAAGAAGAGGCCACACTAGATATCGTCTTACAAACACTTCCATTTCTGAATACTATACTCTTGTTGACTTCTTGAATCTGATGCAAAAAGCCTTAGACGAAGAAACAGTTCTTGAGCAAGGGAGCCGAAGTGTGCTACAGGTATCACTAGAAAGCCTCCCTTTGACCACTGACTCAGCCTCTCAGCGGTACGTGCCCCACTTACCATGGGGATATGCTACTGACGTTGCACAAGTTTTAGAAGTGGCAGCAGCCATCATCATTCCAACAAAGTCCGCAGCTTCTTTTGCCGATTCATTCTCATTGTCCATGGCAGAAGCAGTCTTATACTCCAGCAGTTTTCTCTTAATACTCTCATAAATAACAAAGTGAATAACAGTCTCCGATATGCCTGCGTAGGATGCAGACATTCCTCTGTAAAAGCCTTTAACACCATCTGATCGATAAACTTTTCGGACACATTCAAAAGCACTCATTCGCTTTTCTCCACGATTCCTACAAAGGAGAGAGCAAGACACATCAAGGTGGTGCAGCTTGAGACGGGAAAATAGCTAAACAGTTTTTCTTGAGTGGCAAGAGATCTTAGGAAACATCTCACTGATGCTGAGGGGCTCCAATTCAGACACTTTAAAGAACAGAGGACCTAAAGACAGTCTCCAAGGCCTTCAGCACTAAGCACAGGTAAAGCACTACTCTGAACCCAAGCCAAACTTCACATGGTGACTAAAGTATCATGCAGGCAAGTTGAACAGCTCTAGGCCTCCACATCTTACGGAATAAAGGACTACCTTGCCTGAAAATAGACTCCCACAAGAACAGTAAATGTTAGTGACTCATTAGAAATTACCAACTTTTGCATAATGAGCAGATTTCCCCTAAATTCTGCTTCAAACAGCTCCACAGCATGGCAGTTACTCATCCTGTTCCAGAATAGCAGGTCTCGCAGTACAGCCTTTAGGATTTCGTGGCTATAAGGCATACGAACATGAACACACTGGCTGAGAGTTCAAATGGCAGGCTTTACAGCATCGCAGCTATCAGTGACCAACCAGGATATCCAAAGGGAGCATGCCAACCAGTACAACACAGGTAGCTTTTATTTGAATCAACTAAGCCACTGCTGACATCAAGGAAAATGCTCATTAGACATAACTATCAAACAATATTTGGTAAATAAAATCTTATTCCCTTTTTTAGCTTCCTTACCGAATTGATTTGTGCATGCTGAAATACTCATACTGTACACAGCTATACAAAACATTACAAAACATGCTTTATGGCAGCAGCGAGTGCAGGCACTTGGAGCATACGGACTCTGCCAGCAGAGGTCTCCTGAGGGAGGGAGTCACACAGAATACAACAGCAAATAACCTTGTGAAAGTCATGGTAACTCATATGGACACTGCCAACGCAAGACACAGTGTCAGTAGCTATTATGCAATTAGAATGAGGCACCACTAGATGGCAGAATTTAAGTCCTGATAGCTTGAACCTGCAGTGTCAGAGAGCTATGAAAAAAGGTACCACAGAGAGTGGGCACGTATCGCTGCTACTCTGATCTTCAATAAGCTAGGTAACAGACCGGGGGGCTGGCGCTGATCTGCTGACATGCGAAAGGAAAAGAGTCCAAGAACAACTGCTTGGAAGAGCAGCTGGACCTACAGCTGCCAGCTGCAGGGGTACCCTGATCTCCACATCCCTGGTATACCTGGAAAGGTGCACTGAGAGATACTGCTGTAAGGATTCATTGTTCTGATGTGCAAGATGCACAACATTGCTGTGATAGCTAAAGCAATTTCATTCTGGAAATAAAAACATTCCTTCTCCAGGTCTTATTGGGATTAGTGGGATTTGAGACCCTCAACAGAAACAAGATCAGGCCAGGATAATCCCATGGGCCAAGAATCTTTATGCCTCTAATAAAAACTGAATTAGAAGAGTCAACAATACAGCATGTGCTAGATTATGCTATGTAATTGCACTCTTCTGCATGAAAATTGAAGGTATTCCTTCTTCAGGTGTCCCACATGTTGTGTGCTTGGTACAGTGGACAGAAATAACGTGCACAAGCAATCCATAATTCCCTGATTTCCTTAAAAGCTCTATAGTTTAAGCAACTTAACTGATTAATCAGTAAAAAAGGAGCAGAGGCACAAGAGGCCATCAGTTTGCATACAGGGCTAAAAATCCCATGGAATTACATCACTGAAATCATATGGTAGCAACACAAAAAAAACCTCACTGTAAAACTAGTTCTGGGACATAAGTACTCCAGTCACCCAGCAGCTGATAACACAGCTGCTAGGAGGAAAAATGTTAATATGCACTTAATACAGGAAGTCCAACAATCTCCAAGATAGGAATAAGTGGCTTATTAGTGTATTTAGGGTGGCTGAAGGAATTTTACATTGCATGCTAAGTTTTCAGTGAGAGTCTAAAAAGAACAGTTGCATCGAGACACATCAGTCTCCCCTTGTTGTTTTAAATAAACAGGAATTCAGTCTTCCTTTCTCCTTATTTGCATAAAATCATACTTCATTACAAGTTCTGTAGGTAACAGTTTCTGTAATCGGTTCTGTAATAAAACTTCTACTACCTATTCTTCATTAGGACAATTCCTGTGTTTGGATCCATGAAAGCAGTCTTCCCCTTTTTATAGAAGGCTAGAGCTCACGGTATGTAAAAAGTGAAACCCAGGATGTTTTAAGGCTTTTTTCTAAACTTCTGCTAAAACACTTAAATCTGTATTTCAGGGATGTCTAAGCTCAACAGCTAAAACCAAAAAGAATATATTACTGAAGGAAAATGTAACTATATGGTTAATGAGACTGTAACCTTGTAATTCATTCCAAATTTGCTGGCTAGTCTACTACAGTGGCTCCAGCATGCCTCAGAACAGAGATTAAAATAGAGAAAAATGATGGTGTAACTCGTAGATAGATCAGCATCAGCCTTCTAATTTGAAATGTTGCATACTTGAAGAACCATTCCATTTTGGGACGCAGAACAGATTCGCAACGTAAGTGAAATCTTAATCAGGGCAGTGAGATTTCCCATTGTCACTAGTCGGTTCTCTTATGATTCTTACCTTGCATCAAGCTGTAATCGTGTCTTTACTAGCCAGATAGGATTAGTTGTTGTGATTGCAGTAAAACCTAAAATATTTAAAAAGAATAGTTAGATGTGATAGTACCATAAGAGCAACTGCATCTACGTTCAAAACGCACACAGTAAGGTACAGTGGATGCAAAAACTCGGACTATACTGATCTTTAGAAAGCACCCATTGAAGCCCTTCACTGCTGTTTTATGAATCTGTACAGCCAATAAACATTTAGCTTATTTTTAAATTTTACATTAATATTGAGTAAGTTTGATTCTTCGCAAGAGACACCCCATATATAATAAGCCAAATCATGTACATTTCTCTGCCTATCTAAGCATACCAACCCTGTTTTGATACCATGGAAGAGCAAAGCTAGCTAGACTAATATCAGCCAATTTGGAATACATGTCTATAAGAACACATTGCGGGTACAGCTACAGCAATTTGAGATGGTATAAATCACTGTCAATTTAATGTGCTACCTGAAACACAATCCGAGTTTACGAGCATGCAGACCGAATACATACTACTTTTGGTGCAGTTAAAAGGCACATATTACTGTAAGTTAAGAGACCTTTTAATACTGAACTATAAAGAGCAGTTAAATTTGAGCGCTAATGCCTTATTTAGTATTCAAAGCAGAGATTGTTGGTTGGGCCAGGAACACTTTTACAAGGATATGAGTGTTTAAATTGTTAGAGTAACTAGCATGACTTCTAACTATCCAGACAGACAGCAACTATTCGGGCTAGCACAAGGGCTAAGGGTTAAAGCTTTGATTTTCAGTCCACTAAAGAAAAAGAAAAGGAAGAAAAAGAGAAAAGAAAACAAATTAAAAAAAAAAGAAAAGAAGTAAGAATCACTCTTACTTCTGCACAACCGTGGAGAGAAAAAGAGCAGAGTGAAAGGCAGCTCTGAAAAAAACAACACAAAATAAGAAACCATCTAGAGTTGTAATACCACACGTGCACCATTAATGAGGTGACATGTCTGCAGGAGAGAAAGGGAAAAGCCAAGAGCTGGAACATGGCCAGGCAAGGGATGATAAATTTAGACACTTGCTTTCTACGTGACACATATCACTTGTATATCACTACAAAGACATGCTGCCCTCCTACAAGGGAATGGACTGGGGTTGTGGGAAAGCAACAAGGAGTTATCGTGATCAGTGCACATCTGGTGCACAAGACTTAAACAACCAGCAGGCTATCCATAAGCTTGTTTATGAAGATCATTAACAGCTTACATAAATATATATATTTAGCAGAACTGCTTGCATACTTGTTACTTCTGTTCAATCACAATCTGGATTTACATTGCACACAAATGACTGCAATACTCAGAAATGCCAGGGGATCTTAACTGTTTTAAGGTTTGTGCTACCTCCCCGCCCAAATCTTAAATAACTCATTGGGATTTTCAGTTACAGTTCTAAAGACACATTAGCAGCTAGGATTTAGCTCTATTTCTGTGCCAAAACAGCAAAACCACATTAGGGATTTCAGTTTCATCTTTTGATTAAATAGATTTTTACATTGACTCAAACCTCTTAACTGAGTAACTTCCTGCAAGTTCATTGGGTAGATAATCAAGGTTTGGATTTGGCTTTTTTCCCCCTCAATACATTACTCTTTCTATGTCTACATACATCTATGTCCTTCATATGACAGAGTGAAATCCAAACAAGCCAAAAGTGCTTTTTATCTGCATTTCATGTAGACCAACAGTTATGTAAAAATGCAAAACATGAGGGAACTACTCTGCCATAACAAGGCACAGGATGTTTTAAATGCATATTGCACCTGCAAACAAGGTTCTGCACTTCAGCTAGCCAGAGCCCTTCCGACCTGTCAACACCAGAGAAACTCCACCCATTCCAGCAGCACTTGACCCCAGGGGTAGAACTAAACTGAAAGGAAACATTATTCTTGCACTTTTTATTTCTTTATACTAGCATTAATAAAGCTTTAATTTTCTTTTATTTCAAATCAGAATCCTTCCATAACTGTAGTGCACTCAAGGGCACTAGGAGTGCACAGGTCTGCAAAGGCTTTTCAGTAAGCTGGGGAAAACTAACTTCCCCTAACCCACACATGCTCCAGGAAATACTTCTTTCTAAAAAACAAAACCCAAACCAAAATCAGCTCTTAAGCCCATCCTATTTCCTAATTGGAAGTTAGTTAATTTAGAAAGATGAAAGCCTTTTCATTCCTATTTAAGTTACACGCTTTGGAATACTGTAACTTCTAGACTGCGTGTTACAGCATTATCTGCTCAGCCCTTTCTCCTTCCTATTCAATCAAAAAATGGTCTCCTAAATCTCAAACAGGAAACATAGGTGAGATCAGCAGCAGTAGTGACTGTACTTGCCCACAGCAGCAGCCTGATACATCTAGGCAGGCTGGGAAGTTGCCAGTGAAGTGTGGCTGGCACAGGACACAACTTACCCTGTCCAAACCTGCACTCCCCAGGTTGCCCTAAGCATTATTGCAGCATAGCATCCCTAACAGTAGGAGCAGACACTTAGCAGCACAGCCAATTTTTTTCCCTAGGGCTGTCGTGAGCCTAAACAGTATGATGGTTTGAACCAAAGCTTTCAAATCAAAGCGCCTTCAGTGATTCAGGTTTCAGGATGAAACAACTACAGCTCCATTCTTACAGGTAGCGTAGTAAATACAGTTAGCGGAAGAGGAAAAATAAGAGTTTAGTGATGCTCACACCAAGGAAAGCACTCCAAAACATGAAACATCCAGAATTTTGGGATCTTTGATAAGGTAAGCTTTTCTTTTTAAATACAGGAAAAAAGTAGTAAAAGTACTGGTTAAAAAAATAAAGGTGGGGGGCTTTCGACAACTATGAAGCTATAGTTTCCTTTTTTTCTCATTTTCTTTCTTTTTAGAAGCCTCAGTGAACTTTATAATGCTTTACAATGCTTCTCAGTGTGTTGTCTTCTCAAGAAACATTAAGATTCCAGATTCATAAGGAGGGTAGATCAATTTGTTAATACCGGAAAGTTCTGCACTTCTGTATTTTCCATCTATGAAATTGTATCCCAGTTTTAGATGGACAGAATTATCTCAATCTACTTTGAGCTGTATCAGCTACAGACAGGTAAGATCCCAGGTATTCCTATTATGCATCACATTTCAAAGGTTAGGGCTTTTTTTTTTAATCTATAAGCCAATGTAATTGATACAGACACATGTGAATATGAAATGCTGAATTAAAATCCAAAGTAGTAAAATAAAAACAAACTAAAAGAAAAAGGAGAGACAGAAAGGAGATTGTATACATATTAAAAAAAGAAAGAGAAAAGAGGTCTTTGAAATAATATGACAACACAGAATATCAGCTGCAGCACTTTAAAGGCAGCTCTGGGACACTTAAAAATGAAAGGCCTTGTTAAACCCAGTAGGGACATTCAGTTAGCCAGAGCCAAGTGAAGTGGCAGCTAGCAGTGAAAGGCATTTTCCACCTTTCCCTGAACTGCACAGGAAAAAAACCCAACCTCTTAACAGAGTTAAGAAGTGATGTCTTTGCACAATGCACACCATTTGAGTTCAAGATAAAGAAAGTGAATTCCCCTTATTCTGTTTATTTAACAGATATTACAAACCCAGTGTGTGGTTCTTACACTAGAGGCTGCAAGAGACGCTCAGTTCAGTACTCACGAGGTTTAAGTTAGTCCATATTTCTGCAGGAAGTGACCTGCGGATGGGGAGCATGAGATGACACGATCTCACTCTTTTCACGGGAGAAATGTACAGTAAATGCCTAAAATAGACACAGGCTTTTCTGTATCATAACAACAAGCAGTGACCTCATCAGACACATGTGTACAAATCGAATCCCCTTGGAAGGATTTGTGAATTAAGTTATTGTGAGATCTAACTGTTTTCAGGTAAAAGTTTAGGAAAAAATCAAAAGAAAAATAATCAGAACAGGCCACAGATATTAAAATATTTGTTTAAATGCACTGAGTACTGAAATTTCTGCTCATTTGCAGCAGTTCAATTTATCTCCAAATACTTACCTATTAATCAAGTTTACAAGTGAACCCTCTTTCTTCCCAACTCCCTCCCAAATATAATTCAAAAAAGCTAGCCTTGTCTTAGCAATGAAAAAGATAGATACTTTATGAAATCAAACTTTTTACTACAAGTAATCAATGAACTACATATGCCTCTTCTTTGGTATTAAGTAACTGCGTACACACGACTTAAAACTTACAAAAATATGGTATCTCTAAGTAATAGTGGTCCCAATTTTTTTAAATTAAAAAATCTACACTTGTGTTGGTTTGCCAGTAGAGTTCCAGAAAGAACAGCAATAGTACACAAGGCAAAGTAGTTTTGCAGCAGATTTGCAACCATGTTGTCTGAATGAGGATACGAATCATCAAAAAGGCAAATCAGAAAGCCATACAGGAATCAAGTATTTCATTCAGTTCTTTACAGAAATTTGTATTCTGTTGTGGCAAAAGAGATTAGGTGCGATGAGAAGGCAGAGTTCATAATGAATCTGAGAATTTTACCTAACTGTGAAATGTACAGAGATAAACTATCATCACATAAGCAAACATTCTAATTCTTGCAGTATGCTTCAGATATAGTCACTGTCCAAGTTTGCAAAGAGAACCATGTGATATGCCGAGTAGGAAGCAAAAAAGATTACCAAGTGTTTCTTCATGTCAATACACAGATTTTAGGTATGAAGGTGATGTAAATTATAGGCTGGAAGCCAGCACACAGTGAGAACATTAATTCCTAATTGCATAAGGCATCAGTTAATAATATGCAGCATAATTCATCCTCCTTGGGATAAAACAAACTTATTAAAAGCATCTTAATAAATACTAAAATATATGCTTTATCTGGAGAAGGAAGAATCAGGCCTAAACGCAAACAAAAGCGCTTACAACACAATACCTCAGTTTCTTGCTCCCAAAAATTACGTATGCATAAACCAATCCTCATTTAACAAGGACATCAGTCTAGCCTGAGATGCTTATGTATTAACGTATGATACAAGCAAACAGGATTTAAAGTTGACTGAAGCTGAGTACTTACAGTACTTGAACACAACAGTAAGTTAGAATTCTTTTTCAAATTGTATTTTTGCATCTTTGTTTTATTTTGCAACCTACAGGAAAAGCTTTCTAAGTGCAAACAGCACCTCATGCTCATTAGGTATTTGAAGCCTTTACCTAACAGAAAGGTCGCATCCAAACTAACAAACAAAAAAAATCCCTCATTTAAGACTGAGTTACTCATTGCTTACTGAAACCACTGGCAGCTGCAAAAGAAAAAACCAATACTGATTATTTTCTGCTAATTATTAGAAGTGTTTATCCACCTTGCCAATTTTGAAATCTTAAGTTCCAAAGCAATTATTATGGTGATCTTTTATGTTAACCTGTTTAAGTCAACCAATTAACAGCTCACATTCAATCTTGTCCCTGTTATTTTGCCATTTCCTTAAGTTCATTTGCATCATAGAGCAATACAAACCTTGCAGGTAAGACTGTTAATAGCTGGTTTAAGTGCATTTTCTGAAATATATTAATTACAAACACATCGTTAGCACGTTCCCATAAAACACTTAATTTTAGCTACAGTCCTTTACATATAAATCAGAATACAGCCAGTAATGAGTATCAAGAAATTGTTTGTCAAAGAACCTTCTTTTAAAGGTTAAAAAGAGAATATCCATAATATAGTGCCAAGTCATTCAGGAGAAAGAAAACTGTGACCTGTAGTGTGAACCTGCACTGGGCATTCAGTTCCACCGGTTCTAGGGTTTAGGAATACAGCTGCAGAACTAGGGAAGTGTGAGAAAGATAACAGCCACAAAAGTGTTCAATATATATACAAATGTGAAAATGGTATACAAATGTGAAAAAGTCAAACAGCAACTCGGGCTCCAATACACTTACTCCAGCCTCCTACAGCTGTAAGTACAAATACAGAACACCAACCTTCTGGGAGGGAAGCAAGTCAATGAGCAGACACAGAACTTGACAAACTAGTCTGTGTCTACAAGCACTTGGGAAAAGTCACTGCAGCACATCTAAGTTCACTTTTCATTACAGAACAAGGGCAGTAACTTAAAGGTAAGGAACACTGAACATGTGTAACTCCTGCAATGCTGCAGATAAACAAAAGTTGTCTTCAGTTGAGGACAGACTTGTTTCTGCCATCCATGCTTCCCCACACTGATTTTAGACATGTTTTATCCCCTTGAAGGGGCAAAGGCACAAAAAATTAATTACATAATTAGGTTTTCTGGAGCATTTAACTGATTAGGATAAACTTTTCATGAAATCCCCCTCCATCTCATTCCCCATGCTGTTCACCTACAAACAAAACACATTTCCAAGAGATAAAATACTGCATCATCTGAGCACCTTACATTGCCCATTTAAGACAAAATGGTTCTCCTTACAGCTGTCAGAAGATTCAAAACTGCCATCACATTTCTCGTGTGCTAGAGATGAGCATTAGTGTGTTAAAGTACAAAGCCAATATCAATTAAATTTCCTATAGAATAATTTCTTTGTACCAGATTATTAGCAAGTACTAAATAGCAAGCTAATCCTGTTCATGGCTCTGACGTCACCTCTGGCAGTCCATTCCAGATTGCTTGTACTCACGTCATATACACTGGTGGTAAAATTTGACAGGAATTAGAAACATCAACAGGCTACCATAAAATTGTCATCTGTGAAGTATCTACGGCCTACACAGAATAACCTCGCAATTTTTGTTTTCTGTAGGAAAGACACAGGCAACAATAGGCAAAGTGTTACCAGCCCAAGTTTTGATATCCCCAGCAAAAGTCCATGACCATAACTCAGCTCAGTTGCCTTTAACTCCCCTTGTTAATGATCCCAAAGCAGAGAACATACAAATCAAGCAACAAATATTGGTAGCTGCTAAAATATACCCAAGTTACATTGCAGGTATAGAGTAGGAATTCATTTCTAAAGAGGGAAAACCACGAAAACTACAGAAATCTGCTCTTCTGTCACTACAGTGGTAAAGCAAGCTTCACAGACTCATATTTGAGCAAAGGAGGAGGGGGTGTTATGTATAATTTATATAAATATCTGTAGGCGTATTTCTGAAAGACAAAAATAAGCCAGATCTACGAAGCTGTAACAGAAAAAGTGAAAATAAAAACCAGGTTAAGAAGCATTTAGCCAGAGTTCAGTGCAAACAGTGTTTATAGCTTGCAGAGCAAAAAGTCAGTGTTTTGAAAGTTTTCATTTTACATTTCACAAGTTTACAACTGAGAAAGCAGGCATGCAAGTTTTCCTAGAAAAGACTATTCTCACACACACAGTTAAAGATCTTCATTAACACTAAGTGCAATGTTTCGTACACATATTCTCCAGACAGGTTGTTTAATGAGAAGCCAAAGACAGTAAACACTACAAAGAGATCATTCAGTCACTGAATTTCTTCTGTTTTGGTTCCCTCCCACCCTCCCCCCATTTATTGCCACCTCTTATTTGTAGACAGGACTCCAGAATGAAGCTAAAAAGTTACAGATCCTTACCTGCCACACCAGCTGAAATCATGTGTACCTGGGTGGAATCTGGATTGAAAATATTGTTCAACTTTTCCTTGCAGTTTGAGTAAGCAGCAAAATATATCGCTCTGGAAGTAGAACAAAATCCAAGTTATGCTTTGCGTGTTGATACCCTCAGAAGCAGTGCCACTAACTCCGCTGACTCAAGATGATCTTGGTTCAAAGCCCTATTTCCTAAGCAAAAACCACTCACGGAATAATGCTGGGAAAGCAGTGAGCCTATTCTAGGAATGGAGAGTGGGAAAGCACAACTCACAACTTTTCCTTCCACAACAGCTCTAACAGTTAGTGAGGGGAAGAATAGATAATTAGAAATATGGCAGAGATTTTTGCAACACTAGGAAGTTTAGCCAGGGAAGCCAAACACTGCTGAACTAAGTGTAATTACAGAATTCCATGTGTCGTTAATAATGAATCAAATTGGTACTAGTGAGCATAAACTCAGTTCAATAGCATTACAGTTTAAAGAGAATTAGCATGTGTAGCTATTTTTATGGTTATAGCATTTAAAATATTGATAACTTACAGTTATACTTTGTAACATATAGTTACAAATACAAGCATTTTAAATGCTGGAACAGCTGCTTCTTTAGTTCTGTGTTTAAACAGACACAGCTTTTTTCCTCTGAATGCACTACCAAGAAAAATATTTGTAAACTGGTATGGCATTCAAGTCTGTGAGCTGGTATCACAACAGAAGCTAGACACAGATGTTAACATGACAATGTAATATTAGGAAAAAAGTATGTTTTCATCCATCAAAGCTAAAAAAAAAAAATTTAAGCACATCTAAAACCCCCATTTAAAGTTCTAACTCAGGCTTTTTTAACCTTACAGGCAAGCCTCTACAAGAGAAAAAAGTGAACAGCAAGTTTTTGTGAACAGAACATTAACCTCATCAGCTGTGCAAACATGTTTTTCTTTATTATAGAAAAGATAAAGTGCTTGCTTCACGGGTGTAATTTCTAAAATGGAATCTGAACTCAGTTAAGTATACTGGATGTATTATGAAACACGTTTCGCTAAAGCTTATTTAAACAAAGAGCCGCTGTTAAATCCACTTAGCTAACGCTTAATTGAAATGAAGTACTGGATGACGACTGAGTCAGCTGGAGGGGAATGAGGATGTGCTTATTTATAAGACTTCATACATTATACAAACTTGACATTTTTAGTGTGAATACAGGGCAGGGGGGAACAAGCTAAGTATTTCACCTGGGGGAAGAAGGAAAGGGAATTAGAAGATAAAAAAATTACTGAAAAAAATATAGTTGTTTGCAATTGAGGATAGTAATTTATAAAATGGAATTCATTGCCATATGAAAACTGCTGTTAAAACAAAAGATCCATGTTGAACATTCAGATCCAGACTGGACCATGAAACAAAAGTACAGGCTCTTCAGTTTAACAAGTACCCCACAAGTGTCAAGATCAAGCCCGTATCCTGGGCTGTATCCAGAGAAGTGTGGCCAGCAGGTCGAGGGAGGGGATTCTGCCCCTGTACTCTGCTCTGGTGAGACCCCACCTGGAGTGCTGCATCCAGCTGTGGAGCCCTCAACATCAGAAGGATATTGACCAGTTGGAGCGAGTCCAGAGGAGGCCACGAAGATGCTCAGTGGGCTGGAGCCCCTCTGCTGTGATGAAAGGCTGAGAGAGTTGGGCTTGTTCAGCCTGGAGAAGAGGAGGCTCCGGGGAGATCTTATTGCAGCCTTTCAGTACCTGAAGGGGCTACAAGGAAGCTGGGGGGGACTTTTTACAAGGGCCTGTAGTGACAGGACAAGGGGTAACTGGTTTAAATTGAAAATGGGGAGGTTTAGATTAGGTATCAGGAAGAAGTTCTTCATGGAGAGGGTGGGGAGGCACTGGGACAGGTTGCCCAGAGAAGCTGTGGATGCCCCATCCCTGGAAGTGTTCAAGGCCAGGCTGGATGAGGCTTGGAGCAACCTGGTCTAGTGGAAGGTGTCCCTGACCATGGCAGGGGGGTTGGAACTGGATGACCTTTCAGGTCCCTTCCAACCCAAACCATTCTGTGATTCTATGATCAAAGAAAGCCACTGGAATTGCTTCAGCTTCTCCAAAAAGCAACACTAAGCTAGTGATCAGAAAACATCACGTACTCCTAATTCCTTAAAAATTCTGCTAAAAGTACTCCAATTCCTGAACTATGTTTTCCTTATTCATACAGAGGCTGCACAGAGCAACACCTCATCTGTCAGATTAATGCTCAATGGAAAGTTAAAGAAAATTTGAGAAGCATTCGAAGAACTTAAACCAGAAAAGTTAAGTACTCCCCAGATGGGTTGGGGAGTCCTGTTTCCTGACACAGACAGGAATAATAGTGTCTTCGGTTCAGACCAAAGCCAACAACAACAAAAAAGATGAAAGCAGGGCACTAAGTCAAGGGAAGAATAAAAAACTTTCTGGAATATATTCTCCCTGCATAAAGACACTTGTCAAACAGAATAAAAGGGAGTAAAAACTGGCCAGAAGATGGAAGGCTAAGAACTACTTCCAGGCTAAGTAGTGATATTAGTTTTTACACAGCATTGTTTCCATACACTTCCATAGGTACTCTATTTTTGGATTGAACTTAGGCTAACACTTGTATGTGAGGATCAACTCCAGCTCAGGCATAACCTGCGTGCCTGCCAGCACCAGCCAAGTAGAGCACTGGTCCCCATGCAGAGCAGCTGACAGCAGCAATACCACTGCCAATTAGACCAGATTTACATCCTCGTGCACTGCATCCTCTGACTGCCTCACTACCCTTTGGAGTCCAGCCCACTGCTGGCTCTGCTTCATCTGGGACAGCTGTAAGCGTGTCATCCTACCCAGTCTTGCCCTTTTTGAAGTTATAGAACAGGCTCACTATGGCAGGGGGACAGTAGCCTGTCCAGAATTCAGGACGAAAGAGGCAGTGTTTTAAAGCTACAGTCACACAACTGCTTCCTGAAGATGATGGATTAGCTGAAAGGTAAATCTACCTTTGTATTTTCAAAGGTGCAAACTTCCTCACATATGCAATCTGTTGAGCATTTTCCTTAACTGGACAAAAGCGCATAAGGGATAGCATACAACAGCAAATACTACTGTAATACGTATAGGATACTAAATGCTGAGAAAGTTGGTTCACAGATGTGGGACACGAGCTGCAGAGCACATGAACAGTTCAGTTCCTCAGACAATGAGGTTCACAGGTTCACAGAGTGGAAAGGGTTGGAAGGGACCTCTAGAGATCATCTAGTTCGCTCAGGAACCAAAGGTTATTTGCTACTAAGTATTTACAACTGCAGATGCAAAAACTTGCTTCAAATAAATTCTAAATCTCATGTACAGCAACTGAAATTTTATCAAAATTTCATTTACCTGGAAGGAGCAACACCTACTAAATTAGGACCCAGCCCTCTAAACAGAGAACGAGGACCTTCCTTTTGCAAGATCATCCTAGAAGACAAAAAAGTGACAATACTATAAAATGCACATCAAAATTAAGGAACACACTGACCATCATGACTACATCATTTTAAGCTTTACTCTGTGTAAAACTTCCATAATATCTGACAATGCAGTGCTGATCATGAAGGATCAGGTATTTCCTAGAATCAGCATAAAATAACATTCCATAATTGCTTGACATGTTATAGAATTCCAAGAACTAAATGCAGAAGTAGAGCCTTATGTTGTCAAACAGACTTACCTCCAAGATAAGAACATAGAGTTAACTGTTATTAGGAAGTTAATGAAAAGTGTCAGTTTAACAGGGAGAAATCCCTGTAGGTTCTAGATTATTTGAGAAAAAAATATTTCTGTTCTACATTCCTTTTACCACCCTTTAGCTCCCAGTGGTTTTTGGGAGGGACAGAGTGAAAGGCAAGAGGAGAGGAAAGATACTTATGAAGGCTCAGTTACAGCAACTCACACGCTTTCTGAGAGCAGCTTGGGAAGTCATTAACTTTACTGCTTATCATGCCCAGCCACATACACTCTTCTCCAAAACACAAACCTCAGCATGGCTTTCCATGTGCTGTCCTGGTTTGATTCTCAAGGCTCCTAACAGTGCAGTGTTACATGTCAGAAGTTAGTGAAAACAGCCTTTCAGTTGCAAAGCTCTGTCTTCCCCATCCCCACACATGACTTAAATTCACTAAGCATTCAACTAGGAACCCATTCTTAGCTTTACTCTTTCTGCAAGACACTGTGATTATTCTGACTACAATAAAAGGAAAAATGAAACCTCTGATTGAGAGGTGGCCCTTCCTGGAAGTTAGCAGGGATTCCCTCCTATTGCTTCTGAACTGCTGTCCTTGTGCTGCTATCCTAGCACTGCTGCTGGGCTGGGCAGCCAGTGTTTTTACCTTTCAACTTGTTGCAGAAAAGACAATCTTTACCTCCTCATGCAAGGTACCTCCCTTCAGTTTGAGCTTAACTGCAAGAGAAGTGTAACGCGGGTAAAGAGTCACAGCCACAGTACAGCCCTGACATCTCATCGGACCACATCCACTCTAAGCACAGCTCTGGAAAGACTGCTTGGGTGGCAAGGGGGTGTCACCTTCCATCTTTGTGGGGTTTAGAGACATACAGGAATACAGGCAGTGAATTGAGACCTCAGATGAGGCATTACTAGTACCTAAGTTTTTGGAATGCCTATCCCATGTAACTGTGGTTTTTAGGCAGAACTGAAAACCATTAGGCAGGAAGGTACACTGGCACAGTAAGAAGATAGCCATTTGTATTCCGGTTTAGTGAAATCCAACAGTCTAGATGCTAATCAGATATGGTATTTTAAAAAAAATATAGTAGCACATAAGAGGAGAAACAAGGACTATCTGCATCCCATCACTGCAAACTGCTCTAGCAATTGCTTTATAACCAGACTTAAAGTTAAGAATTAACTACTTCACTAGATGTTACAAAACAGAACTCTGTGCTTATTGATTTAGAAACACTGGCCAATACACACAAATAGTCCTCCTGTATACTGCTTCTTCAAAGAGACACACAGGTTAATGACAAGTCAATTACTCAATAAACCAAACTACCCTCGTAAAAGTGCCACTTTGTTTGGAATTTATTATCAGAACAAACAGGTGAAAACCATCTATAGCACTGTAGGAGAGTCCAAGCCTATTCTGATTTCCAGCAGCTGAGTCACAGTTCTCTTGCAAAATCAAACTGTAAGCTTAAATTTGTGTTCGGTAAGCAAAAAATAAAATGGTGGCTCTGCCAGTTACCATCACTATTTAAAATACTGGCATGCTATGTGTCCAGCAACATCTCCACTTCACACCCGTAACCATGAGATAAGATTTCACTAGGTGGGTAACACTGCTCCACATCAATAACTGAAGTAGTGAACACAAACTCAAAAGCACTTTGGAAATACAAATTACTTAAACATGTCTGTCATCCTGAAAGCATTTCTAACACTTAGAGAACGAAATACCCAACAAACTTATCTTACCTCAAAATCAATTCCAGAGCTCAGCATGGGCCCAGCATCAGATTACAGCAAAGCTGAACCCAATTAACATGATCTGTGTCCACTTAAACCTGCACTTAAATCAATGCCACCATAACTTTGTGTTACACATACGTGTATGTGCACATATAACATATGCAGGTACACAAAGCAGCAGGAACCTCAGAGTCTAACAAGAAACTTAGAAGTGTACCAGATCTATTTGTTTCTTCTGGCTCTACAGTGTCCCAAGACTTCACAGAGCAACAAAAGAGTTAGAGTTTGCAGCAGGTTTTATAATGGTAGTAGTTACTGATGTTCTTCTGCATCAGTAGAAGAGCACCAGCTGGAGGAGTTCCAGAGCCTACACTGAAAGCAGGACACAATTTTTGCATTAAAGAGCAGATCCAAGAGCTTGCACTATTTATTGAAAGCAGTAAGTGGCAAATCCATGGTTGGAAGAGCAGTACAAATGCTCCGTATGGCCTCAGCTGACCTGCTCATATCACATGGGGAAGTCAGCACTGGGAGGTCAGTCAGATTTCCTTTGTCAAGACCTCAGATTTAAACTCTGCAAGGTTAGTTATGGGAGGCATCCGCAATCTGATACACACTACAGATATTTAAGAATAAGGGAATTTGCTTTTGTTGCCAAAGAATGCAGTCACCTGTACCAGTTCTTCTGAGTTTGTTTCCTGACACAGATGCCTTTGAAGTCACCTCTGCTGATAGTTAAGATGCAGAAGTAATTCCACAGCAGCCAATTAACTGAAATTCTACCATCTGCCTGATTCACCCTGCTTTTAGACCGAGTATTGTAAACCTTGGAGCACTGCACTTAATTCAGTGTGAGAAGACAGAACCAAACCTTGACACCTACAAGTCAGAAAATACCAAGTGACAGAGGGATCTGGTTTGATTTCCCCACTAAACAGCCCCAGCCCCTTAACCAGCAGACACCAAGAATAATTATGTCCTGCACCTATGCATTATTTATTGTCACCATCCATTGCCATGGTGTGTGGGACTTTTTCATATTTACTGTATTTAAAGAATGTGGCACAAAGTAAAAGTTACTTGGCTTCTCAGTAGTTTGATGCTGACCTGGAAGAAAACACATCTAAGCAAAGAACAGAGGCAGAAGATACACATTCTTCTATCACAGAACCAAACATGTATAAGAATCAGATTTTTAAAAAACCACCACCAACATCTACAAGTCCTACCAGCAAAGTTCACAGACTACCTGTACCTCAGTCTGATTTTGCTTCCCAAATTAATTTAGGTTTTAGGGATGGTTTAAATCATAGCAGGCTTCTAGCAGTGGCATGAAATATCTATTCATCCTGCTGTTCAATTCAGATCTATCTCTAAACAGAAGATAAATCCATAAAATTCAGGGAAGAAGCTGAAGGGATCAACTTTCAACCAGAAAAGCCAACAAGGCAAGTGTTTTGAACACACCTCTCCTTCTTTGTCACAATCTGAGCCCTTCCTTCCCAAATACCTGTTCCCAACATGTTCACCCATCAGATTCTTACATGTAGAAAGAATCAAAACTTCCACAATAAGAACTATCTTCCACTCAAAGAGCCATTTGGGTACAACCTCCATTTAAGCAAATATTATCTTCTAACCAGATTAAGCCTAAATCCTACACTGCAACTGCAGAAGGGGCTCTCTGCAAACTATTCCTCACTGATTAACTGGGGATAGAAGATAGCTGGTCTGAGTCTTAAGTTCTTCCAAGGAAAGAAGCTGTAGCAGGTCCCTTCTAGAGGAAAACTCCCCTCTCATACCCAAATACTGAAGGTACCTCCCCATAACTGGCTAGCTTGAGTGTCCCAGAGTAATTGAGCCCTGCCTGTGGTCTGTACTAGCAGTTGAACTGTGGCCACACAACTTCTCTGCTGCCTACTGAATATCACAAGCACTCATTGCAAGGAGAGGAAAGACAGTCCCATTCAGTGAGGTGCTACACAAACAGAACATCCCAGATTGTGGCAAAACCTGGCCTTACCTCTCTTAATAGCTCTAAAAAAAAGTGTTACTAGTCACACATCCACCACTAGAAGACACTGAAAGGCAAGGAAGGGTAGGGAGTGGAGAAAGCTGAGAGAGATTAAGAAGCTGATTTAATTTTCATAGGGCTTCTTGCCTCCATATTCAGCAAGATCAATGATTTGGACTCACAGCAGTTTGAAAAGTCTTATACTAACACTTTTTCAGGATGAAAATACAGCCTGACACTTAAGCATTACAGTTCTCCCAGTGAGTTTTGGGGACACCATTTGGAGCTGTGAATTGTACAGAGTATATATGCTCTGGCTAATTCCAGGTACAAACTCAAGCATGAAGGACATTCAGAAAAGTGGAATGTGAAACTTTAATTATGGTTAAAAGGCAAAATAGGGGAAATCATCTCATGACAGACATGAGTCTGAATGTTTTATATGGATTTGCCCAAAACACATCTCTCCTCCTCCCTCTCCCCTCAAAATGAACTGAAAACCTAGTAACATGTACACTCACTTCAAACAATGGAGAGGCCCAGGAGAAACTCTAGTTACTCGATTGACGCTAGCACCATTCACAGTGTTGAGATGAACTTCAGAGATGTAGAGAGTCACAGAGGAGGACTGCAATCGTGTTTTCACAACTTCCAGTGGACATGTCAGAATTGCACCAACAGTACCTCCACATCTGCAAAGAGAAACAGCATCACATTCTTAACAGCAAAGAAACTGAAGGATACATTCATATATAATTAACATTGTACTCAACACAGTCAAATTTCACAATATGAAGAAATAACTGCATGACAATGCTGCAGTTATTTGTCCTTGAAGGCAAGCAAACTGCTATTTCAGTTTGTTAACCTCACAACACGGAGTGAAAATTTAAACAGAAAAATAAAGCTTCCCAAAGTAGTGGACATGCACAGTCTTCAGTACAGGCTGTTCAAAACAGTTCTGGAAAGTAGCTCAGTATCTGAAATGTTTAACTTCTTACGGTAAATTTTAACTTTTTTTGAATGTTCAGCGCACTCCTGACCACAAACAAGGTGCCAAAAATCCTTAAGGGTAGAAAAGATTTATGCACTATGAACACAGGGCTACACATAAAAAGCTGGTAAACACTATGGTGTGGCAATTCAATAAAATTAAAATTACTTATGAAGACATCTTCAAAAATCCATTTGTATTTTGGGCATTGCCCCATGAAAGCAACGATTCTGAGTGTTTCCTGAGTCCTGCCCATTACAGCAAAACAGCCTACATTCTGAGTAGGACCACTGTAGAGTAGAGCCTGGGAAGACAAAAGAGCTTTAAGTGACTAACCAGGTGAAGACCTGCAGATTTTGCTCCAGTCTGCCACTGATTTCAGTGAGCAAGCCAAGACAAGCTGTGCACAACTCACGCTGACAGTGGAGTTAGTCCCATTCTGCTAGAGCAGAACACAGCCAAGAATGTACTGCCTGTTAGCAGCCTTGCTCCAAGGATTCTTCTGGTGCTTGTTCATAACAGATTTATTAATATCTGCATGCCTATCTGTTTAACTATCATCACATACAGCCCCTGAGGGAACAACATCGAATGCACAAATTCTGATTCCAAAGAAAATCCCAAGTTCCTTGACATTACCATTAAAAAAGTGCTTCCCTTGAACCTTTTCTGAGATGACTATTCTTAACTTCACCAAATACCCTTCTTAGAACTAAGACCAGGACATTGTAAGTCCCCTAAAAAACATACAAAAACCCCACCCACAAAACCAAGAAACCCCACACACCCCACCACAAAACAAACCCAGATTTAAATTAGGGTATTAATGCCACTAACAGCTCCATCTGAAATCCACTAACACACAAATACAATTCCTACTAAATTCAAAGGGCCCAGCATTCACTTCTCTAAGGCAGTAACTAGAGCTGGTGTTTGATTCTGGCAAGATAGTTATCAGCTATTCTGTTGTAACGCGAGAGGCTCAATCACCCCCAAAACCTTAAAAAAAAGCTGTAAGACTTGTTCAATATTTTTTTAAAGAATGTCTTCCAAAATGCAGTAATAGCTAAGACTCAAGATTTCTCAAAATTCCATAGGAAGATAGTTTTTAGTCTATTAACTCTTCTAATGCAGAGAATACCAAAAATAATGGCAGTAGTTAGCACAGCACTGCATCCTAAAAAAAACCCAATCTGTATGAATCGAACTGACAATATCAAACAGCTGCAAACTAGGATAATGTTTGATGCTGTTCACTTAACGCTCCATTTAAACCTAGTGACCTAGAGGTATCCTATTACTAAGCCTAAAGGCTTCTTGTCCCACCTCTGACTCCAACACTAGACTGAAGTCTACTCTCGTCCAAGTTTTAACTGAGAAATCAAGTTTCTTTATCAGTCTGTAAAGTGTTTTCACAGAAAAATGGAAGTGTTTCAGTGTGTGCTGTACACACATAGTAACAGACAGAGCTTTAAGAGTTGTATATTAAAACATATGTTCTGAATGAGCAGTTCACTTCCTTACTCTTCTCATGGTAAGCTACAAACAGACTTTTAAAATGCGAGTTGCAGGAAGAGACAGACTAGATGCGTATATAGTTATTTTGGCCAGTGTTGGAAGCAGGAGCCTGTAACTGGTTAAGGGTCACGAGAACCAGAGGTAGGCCAGCCCTGGAAACAACTTGACATGGAGCTTTAGAGCGTGAGCACCTCCAAGACAGACAGCAAGTCACTGTGCTTCCTGCAGCACAACAGCAGGCACTGCTGTATGGTGATGTATGACACAGTCAATGTGGGAAGTTGGCTTTAAAGTTTATTTCCTTTCCTGCAACCCCTCTGTTCCTGATCCCCTTGAGCCTACAGCCTTTAAGATCTTTCTGCATTGATTTTAGACAGGTTACATGAAGTGCTTTCAAGCTACAGTAACAGCAAGAGAAAGCATGTGGTACAGTTTATACTAATGAGATAAATACTATGGAAGGAGGAAGAAAAAAATCTGGCCTGCATTCTTCAACAGGGCTTGGAATTTGGAGCTGTTAATGCTACTGGCTCCACAGCTACACCGCACTGGAAAAATTTTCCGAAGTTGAAGATTAACAGTGAGCTGGAGCTTGTGCCCTGCACCACACCAGCACCACCACAGAGCCTGACTGCTGAAGCCCTCCTGCCAGACGACCACGATGGATGGGTTAGAAACACGTCACGCAGCAATGGCTTACTAGATTACTAGGGAAGAGGGCAGACAGCTCCTCAGTTCTTGTTCTTTTGAAGTTTGCCTACAGCAAGAGTTGTTCAGTGATAATCAGCTGATGTTAACAGCAGCCAGCACTATTTTTATATGCATCACAAGGAAGCTGCAGACCTTTTAGAGCTGGGCACCCTTTACCTGCACCCCATTCTGCCATTCAAGTAATTTCAAATAATGAGCACTCTTGTCAGTTTTCACTGTTGTGATGTTGGCTGGTTTGTTTGGTGGTTTGACTTTTTTTCTTCTTTGAACAGTTTAAGGTGTCTAAGCTGAACTTGAGACTAATCTGAATGTTTTCAACTATTTATAGTTTGGACAAATATTCTCCTCTGGCACCATCTTCAAGATCTCAAATTGCTACTTACAAATGAAGAAAGCAGAGAGGTTTTATAGTGCTATGTGTTTCTTTCTGTATTGCTCACAAACAAGCCTTCACTAAATCCCCAATTTCTACTTCTATCAAAATCTAATACCTCACTCTCCCAGACCTCAAAAAAGCCCCATATGATAGAGAAGTCATCTGGAATGGAAGGAGTGAAAGAAAAAGCCCCCAAATGTTGAAGAACCAGACTATGCTCAGCAGTCACAAGATCCACTGAGTTTGAACTGAACCACTAAATGAATGCACAACCCAGGAACTACAATGAATTATCTAGTGCACTTGAACTTTAAGATAAACACTGCAAGGCTTGACAAAAATCTGTTTATGAGAAACTGTCAGTAAACATAGCTTGTAGGTAAACAAAGAAGAGACAATTCAATAACTCTGCACCCTGTACAAATAAACAACTTCAAAGCAGCACACCAGCTGTTCTGTTACCAGCATCAATGACAGTGTATTTTACTCAGAAATAGATATCCGGCTTTGCTTACTTAACACACTACTAGAAATATCACGAAAGAGACAGCTACTCCTTTGTGCTCCAAGTCCTGGCAGGTCATTAACAGCCAGCCACCAGCTCCAGCTCAGCAGAAGTGTTTCATATGTTGTCAGCAGACTGCCATCACCACTCCTACTATCCTCCTCACCGGCATCAAAAACTCTCCTCAACGGGAGTTTTTTCAGTTTGTGGCTTAACACAAATTAGGGAGTAATACAGTTTGGAAAAACAATTTTTAAGAGTTAGAAAATCATTCTTCTCCTCAGTAACAGAGGTAGAATTTTTACAAACTACTAAATACATTTCTACTTCCTAAACTCACTCTGGGCTTCAGCATCTCCAGCCATGGACTAGGCCCCAGTGGCTATGATTTGTGAGAACTCTTGCCAATGTGTAACTTTCTCCAGTATTAGAGGAGTTTCATCTGGTGGAGCGAATGGGTAAGCAAATACACTCCTGCTGACAGAGTATAAACTGGAAGAGAAGGTCAAAACCTCACACTCCTGTCTGAACACTTCTAATGAATGCTGTTTCTAATGAAAGTAATTTGAAGGGAAGAAAAAAGATCAGTAGGCAAATCCACAAAGACAAACACACAGGTAAAAAAGGAGGATTAAAATCCCACTGATATTAGCACGCTCAAGGTAGAGAAATAAATCTGCAGCTTAAACTGTACAGGAAAGCACAAGAGACATTGCACTCAGTGAAACAGATAGATGTGTAGTTACCATCTAACCTGCAGGATTGTGACAAACTTAAAACAACAGATACTACAAACAGTTGTCACTACTTGACAACTCTTGAACGAAAGAATGTAGGAAGACAGCATGGCTCTCCCAAACTGTAAGTGATTCCAGAGAACACACATGCAAAACACCAACATTTAATTTGATCCCTAATGTGTATTTAGAAGTCCATCACCCCACCAGATTAACAGAAACAAATCTGGAACTCTTTGGGCTTTAAACTCTGCTAGCAATTCAACACATACAGTACTGACAACCATTTCCCCCAGAAAAACGTGTATTATTTGTGAGATGCTGCATGGAAAGAAATACGCCCTTGCTTCAAAAACCTAATCCTGTTTGACAATTAAATCCCAGGTTCTACTTCCAGAGATGGCTGCACAAGCAAACCTTCTTTTATTATTCCAAGTTGAGGGTATTTGCTAAGGAATCACTGCCTTTGCCTGGAGTAGTTGAGTATCCCCTACTGTTATCTTACAGCCCCACAAGTAAAGGCGGGGACAGCTCCAGCATGGATGAGGTCTCTGTTTCAGCCACTGGACTGTCTACAAATGCTCCAAAGCAGATTAATATTCCCAATGCCAGTGTCAGCTGACTTAGAACTGAAGCTGTCAGCCGAAAAAATTTTATTCCTTCAGATAATTTTGCATTTTATACAAACAAAACGGGAGGCTGCATAGTGCTAGTCTCATGCTCACCTTTCACAGTATTTGTAACCACAGCCTCAAAGACTCGAAGATAACCCCTGACCCTGTTATCTTGGGTCTACATGCATTCATGTATTTTACCAGCTGTCTCTTTCCTGTATGAAAATGAAAGTTCCA